GTTCGTCGTCGCAGTTTAGGGCCAACTGGCCAGGGAAAGTGGAATAGTGAGGCTTCTGATTTAGTGACAAGCGAGGGGGGAGGGGGGAGTAATAGAATTTGCGATATACCTACGACCGCAGAGGAGGAAGGAGGGAAAATTGGCTAATTCATCCCCTGGAAGTCACCCTGGGTTCGTCTAAGCTCACGGTCTGTATAATACCTTTAACTCTATATTATATATGGGGCAAGAAAGTGTTTTATTATACAAAGGCAGTAATACATCCTCAAATTATTTGAAGGTTTTGGGATCGTCTGATTTCGTACGTGCACCCACATCCACTGACTACACTTCCATTGGAGACGAATTTTAGTCACGGATACATTCAAGATGGTGAAAATAAGGTTATTACTTTACATCTGTATTTGAGAAGTTAGCTTTCGGACTGTTTTAGATTACTAAACTTTGAACATAGTTTTTTTGCTCAACAAATTAATTTCAGCGCTACAATATGTCGACGGCAAAATTGCAACCGCATTATCTTGCGACCGGTGTTTTCCCAAAATCCGGCGGCGTTCATCTAATTCTTCCCGGCCCTGGTCAGTACAAGTTAGTTAATTTCAAATTTCTCAGACCAATGCATTTCTAATGAATGCATTTCAAAAAATATGTGTTGGAATTTGGACAGACGTTCCACCAAATGACTGTTTTTGTTGTGTGGTACTATTTGGGCTCCTTCCGAACACCTTCACATTTCATAATAATTGGCCAACGCACGTGCTGCCCGCGCGAAAATGCGTTTTTTGCATAACTCCCTGCACTGGTTTTTCTGGCAGATGCTTCTAGCTAAAAGAATTTCAGATTGGGCGCCAGGACTGTCAGGAAACATCTATTCAAAATCCCAGTCTTCTAGCTTCTCACTTCCCCGAGTTGGCAACTTATCTGGAAGAAACTTTCAAGGGCCTATACGTAGGTACCACGCTTACCCGCGGGTAAGGTTTGAACAACTTGGACGGGGAACATTCCCCTAAGATTTCAGCGTTTTAGCTTCTCAGATCCTCGAGTTATGAGTTTGCGCGGGAAAAACTTTGGCGGACCCGTACGCGGGTACCACGCTTCCCGGGGGGCTGGGTTTGAGCTCATTAGTATATACCTGGACGGGGAACATTCCCTTAAAATTTCAGCTTTCTAGCTTTCCTGGTTCGAGAGTTATGAATTTACGCGGGAAAACCCCAAAAAAATTTTGGCCGGCCCGTACACGGGTACCACGGTTACCCGGGGGATGAGTTTTAGTGCTTTAACACCTACTTGGACGGGGAAAATCCCACTAAGATTTCAGCGTTCTAGCTTCTCAAATCCCCGAGTTATGAACTTATCCCAAAAAAACTTTGGCGGGCCGGTACGCGGGTACCACGCGGGTTTTGGCGCCCGTTTTGGGAATTAGGGCTGGCACGTGCATGTAGAGTAAGTTCCCGAATTTTCAGCCCCGCAGCTTTTATAGGTTTTGAGATGAAAGTGCGTGAAAGACGCACACATAGACACACGGGCACACAGACAACCCCTCGTCAATATGCGTTTTCTGCATTGCATAGCTGCAAAAAACGCATAGAAAATACGGAGAGGGGCTGACTTCTGACTAGCATTTCAAATAGTAACTAAGCACTTCTTACCTATTACAAATATTTCCATACTCCCATTTCCCTTTTTTACTTCGCTTTGTACTTCTTTTTTCTTCTCTTCATTTTTTCTATTTCATCACTTTCCACTTTATCTTTTAATTGTAATTTATAAAGATAGTCTACATTTTAAATTTGTTAACATTGATGTTTATGTATATAAAAATTATATTAGAGCGTTTCATCGCTGTAAAGCGAGAAGGCACTTGCGCTCGTAGATTTTTGCCCTTTTGCTGCTCTGGCTTTCATTCCGTTTTTAGCCCCCCTAAAGACTCTTTCGTTCCAGAATCTCCATTGATATTCCCTTTTAGCCTACTTACCACTCCCCTCTTTTCGTATACTCCAGACCCCTCCAAAAAACTATTACATCGACTTATGGGAGGGGAGGAGGGGGGGGGGGGTTTAGCCCCCCTTTGTA